AAAAAAAAAAAAAAAAAAAAAAAAAAAAAAAAAAAAAAAAACCTGAAATGTGCAAAGTTCTGTAAGATAAGATAAAAGCTAACACAAAACAGAGGGCTGGGATATGACTGAGTGGCAGCACAGAACAGAAGCATGTGGGAAGCCTGGGTTTGATCCTTGGCATCACTAACACAAGAGAAACAGAGAAAGACTTTAAAGTTTAAGGGAGCAGTACAAAATACCCTATAAATTCCTTTTTCCTTATTTTATTATTTCTTAATTATATTAAATAATTTTTAATTGTATCAAGTAAAACATTACAATTAATTTCATCCATTTCTATTGTATTTTTAATATGGCTACCACAAAATTTTAAGTTACCTCATCTAGATCTCATGACAGTTTTACTGTATAAAAAGTACAACCTGGGATGCAAAGATAGGTCAACAGTCAGTATCAGTATCTTAAAAATAAGTGAATTGTGGACGGAGAGAATGGGAGTGCTGATAAAAAGTGATAGACAAGATCACAGGCAACATATATTGAGAAAGAGTGAAAGGAAATCTCATCAGCTAATATTACAGAACTTAAAAAATACTTCCTTTATATACTAATGACAATCATTTAATCTTTTCTTCAGCAACCTAATATGGACCTCAAGACTGAATTTATTTATCTGTCCTCTGCCTACTCCATACTCGAGCTCAGAGTCTATGCTCACCACTGAAATTTCATCCATCAGTCAGTCCTTCAGTTTTCAACAATCCTACAGACCACCTTTTCCGGACTTCATTCAATCACACAATAGAGGTTTAAGCACTTACACACCTCAAGTTGACATACTTCCTTAAAAACTGCTCTAGACTTATTTCTGTCATTTTATTGTCATTTTCTTACTCAGAGCCTTCAGTTATTTTCTCCTTGCCCTACATTCAATCATTATGAATTATTGATTGTTCTTTGGCACCTGGTCATTATTTTTGCTGCCACCGACATCAATAATACCCTGATTCCTAACATCTCTCACTAAGCTAGTGCAATAATCTCCTATCTGGCTTAGCTTTTTTCTACCACCAATCCCTTTGTCTTCAGTTTTTCAGATCCACCTTGAAAAGCCCTCAAATGCTCACTCTGCCCACTAAGGAAAATCTAAACTCTACCATTCAAGACACTCCACTAACTGGCTTCTTTCTACCTACCCTCTAAGCCAATCCTCCATTAGCCCAACTACTATCCCAACAGAGACCCATGAAAACCAACTACCCACCTGTTCTATCTTAGTTTCTCTTGAGGTACAAAAGGAAATATAACTGTAATGCAAAGGCGGAAACAGTGGAGACAGAAATGCAAGAACTATGTTAGTGTACCACATGAGCAATGCCAACAGATCATTTGCACATGACCTTAAGTCACAAAGAAATTTTTGACAACAGTGTAACAGATTTTATCCTGTTTCTAATAAACAGGACAAAACCTATGAATAAAACCTAGAATTGTAAAAGAAAGACATTTTAAAAGCTAAACAATGTGGAAATCATAATCAAGGGAATAAGAGGGGAAAAAAACTGCCAGTTCTAGAAGATCTCTATTTTGACTGGAAAGAGGTAACTATTTTCTAGTTGCTCTGTCTCATCATAATCCATGGCTTCATGACTATATGCTGTGACCTAAATCCTGATCTTAGTTCAGCTCCTTTATCTACTTTATATACCTTTACATCTCCAAATGCCTGCCAGAGGCCTAAACTAGCACTTACAATCACCATATTGTAACTCTGAACTGCTTTTCCCCCCCACTGACTCATCCCTTCCTTCTCTTCATCAATAAACATTACTACTTAGACTCCTGCAACAGACTGTCAGTTTAGGACAACTCTAGCTCCTAACTCACTACTATTCTTATCCATCTTCTCTTTACCACCTTTTCACCGCTCCAACCTTCTCTCCAACCAACATGACCTAACTAGTCTTACTGGATCCTACTCAAACACATATAGTTATTATGACTTCATTCTGGTTTAAGAGGTTTAGCATATACATATTATTCTGTTACTACCCTCTCTGTTAAAGATACATCATAGATAGCTGCCATATAAATAAAAAGAACAAAGATAGCTTATTCTTTTAGTAACATTAGTAACTTTTTAAGTAACTAAAAAGAACACTGACATACCATAT